AGTGTTGTTCTTACAGTTTTCTGCCCGTGTATTGGCAACACTGATTTGTTTGGCGCTAATATAAAATCTTCGACTTGGAATCTTCAATCTTAACATAGCTTCTCACCATCATTTGGTACATTTTAACCCTTTCTGCCTTGATGTTGGCTCAGTATAACAACTTTAGTTTTGTTTAAACTATTGGCCACAGATCTCCAACGTGTTTTTTCACCACTGCATTCCGTACCACTGTTATAATTGAATGGCAGATAAAATTTTTGAAATCCAGTTTATAAACTTCATCCTTTCTTGTACAATGTTGGCTCAGCGAGCTTCGAGATTTTTATAATTTAGGACGTCCCTTGGGGGGGGGGGAGCGTTTTCCCTGGCAACACTGATATATTTGGCTCCAATCAAAAATCCCCATCTGGGAACTAAAACGAAGGATTGCACAAACCGATAGAAATGTTAAACAGCGTAGCGAGGTCAGACGGATCCAGGTAACGGCCAAATTAGTTTCCAATAAGCCGAGATGCACCCAGATTGCCCATACGGGGGTGGTCACTGCGTTGTATTTAATGGTGCTTTCTTCTCTTGCATTTAAGTATGTCGACCGTTCCTGGACATTCGGTTTTGAGCATTACGAAATTTAGATTTATAGCCTCCTCATTTTACAGCCATTTTTTGTTTCCAGCCCCGTGCATTGTTTCGTCGTAAAAAAACCGTACTGACGGAACTTTCTCTCTGCCTCCGATGAATCTGGAATTTCCTTCATATCGATGAAAAAAATTCGACGTTGCACGTATAACAGAAAGAAAAAAGAGCTCCTCAGTTTAATTGTCCTTTCAACAAATTAGAAAAAGGGATTCGGCCAAATAGAAATCAAACACTGAAGATGGCGAGAAGCCGGAACGCGTATGACAGTACAAAACAGCAAAGAGATAAACTTATAATACCATCTTCTTAATGTCTTTCTAATATTTTTTGACTTGATATGCAATTGGTGCCAACAATAGGCATTTGTGACTCATATTACAAAAATGCATACCTGAAATCCATGTTTTTCTATAATTACAATCACAATCGAAAAATCCAATATTCTTCTGCCAGATCAAAGCCACAGACGGAATTTGAGAAATTTGCCATCGGTAGTGTTCGATCCATGTTAAAAGAAATATAATCCTCATTCATAAGAAATGGCTTATATAAAAATAAAAATTCTTCGAATTGTCCATTCTGTAACTAAAATACCCTAGGTTTTATTTCCTGAGAACCTCCCCTCCTCAGAATATTAGGCTTTGGTTTTATCCCCTTTCGATTCTGAAAAATTTTTCTGATGCGAAGGTCGATGGATTTTCGAGAATTCGTGTCGGTTGAAATTATAAATCAATTCGGTTTAACATATTTTAAACTTTTGTTATTGACCGTGATTTCCGTTCGGTGTTGTCCGTACATTTTCCTCTAGAAACGATTGATTGTTATTGTGTTAGTTATCTACGATCGGAATCCGGTTTTGTTTATAATCCGTCGGTGACATTATCTCTTTGATCTGTCTCTTCAGAGTTTGTTTGTAGTTTTATTCCTTTCTAAGTCGGTTTCTTTTATAAAGGTTTCTATTTGTATCTCGGTTCAAGGTTGGCGATATCCCCTTTATTCCGACCGAGATGGGTCTTATCGAGTCTGACGGGTGGTTTCAATTCAAAATAATAATTATATCCTATCTATGTTCTCTATTTACCGAACATCACAGAAATATAATTTGAATATACATTGCAAAAAAATATTTCGTTGGAATTTGGTCTTTAGACGTGTTTAAACAATTCGCACGATAAAACAGAAGGTATAGATATTAAAAAAAAAAAAAAAAAAAAAAAATAGCAGTCAATTATTAAAGTGACTCTACCATTTTGGAGATTGAAGATTTCAATCTGGAGATTTTCGATTGGCGCCAAACAATTCAATGTTGCTAATACACAGTCAGAAGCACCGTAGAAACAACACTGCGCCCGCTCTAACCTCACGGGATTTCTTGTCTAACCTTTAAAAAATTGCTAAATTTGTTGTTGTTCTGAGCCAACATTGGGCCAGAAATGGTTAAAATGTAACAATCGATACGAGATGCAGTGGCCAGACGTGTTGGTTGAAGATTCCAAGATGGAGACTTAATTTTGGAGGTAAAAAGATCATTGTCGCCAATACAAGTGCAGAAACACTGCAGGACTACTCAAGAATTCCATGCTAACCTTTAACAAATTTGATGAAGTTTGTGTTACTCTATGCCAACATTTGGCCAAAAAGGATTAATTTTATAACCAGCATTAAAAAAAATATATTCTCGACAATTACAGCAATCGATACGAGATGCAGTGGTGGTGAAGAGTCAAAGGTGTAGATGTTAGATTCAGCGTTGCCAACAAACAGGAAGAAACACGGCAGGAGTAACACTGCGTCCACCCACGTATTCACTGATTTTCCCCTTGAACTTTAACAATATTTCTATATTTGGCGTTGCTCTGAGGAAACATTGGGCCAAAAATGGTTAAATTATAAACTGGAAAACGTTTATCCGTACATTCATACGGGCGGTGAAGACCTTTGTTGGAAATTCATATATGAGATTTTAGATTCAGTGTTGCCAATACACCGGCAGCAACCTTGCAGGGTAGCACTACTGCTATAAACCCAAAGGATTTCTCGCAAACATTTAGAGGTTTTTGATGAAGTTTTGTGTTGCACTGAACCAATATTTGGCCATAGAGGGTTAAATTATAAACTGCATTTGAAAAGTTATGTGCTAGACAAATATAACAAGTGACATGGAATGAAGTGGTTATGAGGAGGCATGTTGGAGATTTATTTAGTGGGGAAATTTAATATTAGTGTTGCCAACACACAGGCACAAATACTCTGCCCCTCCCTAATTTCACGAGATTTCCCGCTAACATGTAACCTGTGTTGCTCTGAGGTAGCTTGAGATAAAAAAAGGATAATTAATATATTTGAAAGAAGGCGAGATTGAAAGGATTACAAAAGTTAAATTTGAAAGTTTAGCGGTTTTCCACAATTCGCATTATATTTGACATTGTCTACACCGATCTGCTATAAATTAAATATATCCCTGCAGGGTTTTTGTAAAGGCTTTTTATGTTCGGTCGGCTATGGCAAATATGAGGAGAAATGATTTGGAATGGAAGCAGTAGTGGGGCTGGTGGGGGATGAATCGGCGCCGTAAAAGGGGGCTGTGAACCTTCCACCCCTTTATCTGAATCTCCACCCCCGGCACCGCCCTCGCGGCCTCATAAGCGCGATACCATTTCTCCGGATCGACCCGGCCGGGGAAATGCGTCTTTCCTCTTGAGGTGAATTTTTTTTCTTACAGTGGCGAGTGCCTGATTCTCCTGGAGTCATTCTGAGTACAGCCCTACGTATGAAAGGGATAAACGTAAGGTCTTGAATTTTTTTACTTTTTTTGCCACCGGGTGTTTGCCGGCCACAACCGGCTAAGTTTCTAAGTTTGCACGTTTCTCCTTCACCAGCTCTACTAAGTACAAATGGCTATGTGTATTATAAGAAAATATATTTTAAATATACATTTTAAAATTTAAATAAGCTGTTGCTGTGTTATATCAGTAGAAAACCAGTTAGGAGTTGAGGTTTAAAACATACGAGTACTTTCTCTAACTTTGAAAAATCACCTTGAGAATCAAGTGGTGAAACGTTATTTCGATCTGTTTGTTGCTGTGAAACATTAAAAGCCGGAAACGAACGCTGGACTTTTTTTCGCACAGGGAATATAATAAAATTAAACAAATTGGTCATACATCATCAAAATCCTTTAATCAATTTAGGCCATTTAAAAAAAATTTTTTTTTTTTTTTGCTGGAATACTTGATAGTAATTAGATATGAACATGTAATTAGGTCGTTACCGAACACTCGACTTGATTCTTAGATCAGAGACAGACAAAGAATAATTTTTTAAGATTTTTTAAGGGCGGGCGCGGTGTTGTTCCTGCACATGAATTTGCAACACTGATTTTTTTGGCATCAATGTAAAATCTTCATCTTAAAACTTCAATATCCAACGCTAAGCAAGTTTTAGGTTAGGAAATCCTGTGAATTTAGGGCGTACACAGTGTTGTACCTGCAGTGTTTCTGTGCGTGTATTGGCAGCACTGATTTTTTTGCGCCAATATAAAATCTTTTTCACATAGTCACATTAGGAAATCATACCAAGAGAATTATGGGAGGCGCAGCGTTTCTGCCCGTATATTGGCAACACTGAATCTAAAATCCCCCCATCTTTGAATCTTCAACAGGGCTGTCACCACAAGTTCAGTTGAACTTTTGAGAATCCAGTTCATAAATTAACCCTTTCTTGCCCAATGTTGGCTAACAACAACAACTTCAGCAATTATTGTTAATGGTTAGCAGACATCTCGTGAGTTTAGGCGGCGCAGTATTGTTCTTACACTGATTCTACCTGTGTATTTGGCATTGTTTGGTGACAATATAAAATCTCCATCTTGGAATTTTCAATCTCCAACATGGCTCTTCACCAACACTATCTCATATCGATTGTTAAAATTGGCTAGGAGATAAAATTGTTCAAATCCAGTTTATAAATTAACCCTTTCTTTGTTACTATCGTGAGTTAGGTGGGCGCAGAGTTGTGTTTACAGTGCTTCTGCCTATTTATTATTATTTATTTAATCTTCAATCACTAGCTTTCTTTTATAAGTGCTGGGCTGAATAAAAGTTATTTTCTGAACGCTTGACTGTGTTTTCCATGCAAGGATTGGAAAAAAATTCTAAATTTTTTTTTCGGTGTATCCAAAAATGTGTAAGCATGCGCTCCTATTTTTCATTTTGGATATTGTCGTATTTGCGATTTGAAGAGGTTGAACATTGATTACAGCAATATATAATATAATTAGTCTTGACCTTATCTTTCAGCCAGTATTGGGATTTCTGTATTACTAAAAACAATACAATCACTGATTCCAATTTGTAATTTTTCAGGCGGCCGTCTCCCGTATGCTGAATATTGTAAGTCCAAACATGTTCATAAGTTTATTTTTAAGCCTTGTAGCTTTTGTGATCGAGACGGCCGCCTTGCTGATCACATTTTTCCTTTTTAATTACAAGAAACTTCGCAAAAACTTCGTGGCCGAGTAGTCTTATTTTTAGTAGAATATGACTCCTTCAAGTGGGTTATTGAACAAACGACGATTTAAATGAAAATATAAAATTGGTATAATGAAAACATAAAACGGGGGGGGGGTATACAATATGATATAAGTCCGACCAATTAAATTACAAGTAGAAAGATTGGTCTCATTCATCATAAGCCGGGCGCTCTAATTTTAAAGTAGCTTAACCTTCAAAGCTGAAAGTTCTTGCTTGCTCCAATCAATAGATATCCGATCATTATTCAACGAATAAACGGTATCTCATCGGGGCAATTTTAAGTATTGAACATTTATGAACATAATTTTACATTTTTTCACAGAATTTCCCGACAAACTTCTTAACGTTTTTGTCAATATTCGCGTATTTGGCTAGGGCGACGACCTTAACGGTAGAACTCGAAAGCGCTAATCCGACAAAAGATGGATTAAGCCTTGGATTAGGAATGGGCGGACTCAGGATTTTCTGGGCATTTTATTTGACATTTCAGCAGGCCGAAAATGGGACAGTTACTATTTTCCAAGAAGCACATTTTCCCGATTTAACTATGCTAGGCTAGTTAAATTCTATTCTGATCTGGCAGATTGAGATTTGCTTTTGAGATCCGGCGTTTTCATTAATTTTGTTTTTCTTTTGAATTCTTTTTAGTGAATAGTGTATATGAACCTGTAATTAGGTCGTTACCGATCACTTCGATTGCCTCGCTGTGTTGGTCTGTCAGTCTGTCGGCACAAAGTTCGTAGATCTTAAAGAGTCAGAAAAAGGTTTAGCAACTTTGTTCAAGGCAGGATATCAAAGTTTAGCACGAGGACTGTGTTGTCAACACCCGTATTGGGTTTGCACGTGTATTGGCAACACTGATTTGTTTGATTACAATAAAATCTCTCTTTTCGAATCTTCATTTTCCGACGTTTAGCAAATTTTTAGGTTAGGAAGTGCTGTGAGTTTAGGGCGACGGCAGTGTTGCCTTTGCAGTGTTTCTATGCACACTGTATTGATAACACTGATTTTTTTGCGGCCCATATACAATCTCGATCGTCAAATCTCCAACGTTCGCATGTTTTAGGTCTGGAAATCCTCTGTTTTTAAAGGGGGCGTATTGTTGATTTTGCAGTGTCTGCAAGTGTTTTTGCATTTTTTTTTCGCTCATATAAAATCTTCATTTTAGACTTTCTTTTTTCTTTTTCTCTCTATTTTTCCGACGTTTAACATGTTTTTAAGTTAGGAAATGATGTCTGTGGCGAGCGCAGTTTTATCCCTGTAGTGTTTCTGCACATGTATTGGCAACATTGATTTTTTTGATGCCGATATAAAACCTCCATCTTATAATCTTCAATTTTCCTACGTTTAGCGAGTTTTAGGTCTGGAAATCTAGTGTTGTCTTTGCAGTGTTTCTGCACGTGTGTTGGCAAAACTGATTTTTTGGCAATAATATAAAAATTTCATTTTTCCAACGTTTAGCATGTTTTTAGGTAAGGAAGTGCTGTAAGTTTGGGGCGAGCTCAGTGTTGCCATATGTGTATTGGCAACACTTTTTTTTGCGCCAATATGCAATCTGAATCGTAAAATCTCCAACGTTTAGAAAGTTTTAGGTCTGGAAACCCTGTCGTTTTAAGGGGGAGGGGCTCAGTGTTGCCCCTGTAGTGTTCCTGCACATGTGTAGCCAACTAACACTGATTTGCCCAATTCCCCGACGTTCAGAAGGTTATGATTTACCTGTGTTATGCCAGTTAAATTTTATTCTTATCTGGCAAATAGAGATTTTGATTTTGAGATCCGTGAATTTTAATTAAAAAAATATATTATCTCGATTTTTTTTATATTTTTTTTTACGTCAGTCCCCAAAAAACGCGATGAAGGCGAATCCGATCCGGAAACCGCTGAAGACAACGGGGATGGAAGAAGAGTTCCAGGAAAGGAAAAATACGATTGGATGGAGGTTGCCATAGGAATGGTCTTGCGCACTATCCCCGCCTGTCCGCGTCGTTACCCCCACCGATATCGTCGAGAGAAAAAACCGTATAATTCCGCTTGTCTCCCTACTTGTCCAATTGGACGATAAAAAAGCCCAGATGGTCTCCTCGTTTTGTCCATTTCCAAAAAAAAAACCCTTCCAAGGATAGATAAAAGATAGCAAAATATCCGATAAGACTATACGAAAACAACTCAATGTAAACAGTCTTCCAAGTGTAGCTTAGCAATGTAGCTTAAAAAGAAGTTTATGGAAAAAAATATTCCAGATTCGTTTTAAGCACCTTTAAAAGCTCTTAAATACGAATTTTTATTCAAAACAAAAAATAGACATTTTGGGACGTTACTTGTCTAACCTGTTTTAATAAATATAATTATATATAATATAATATACGTGAAATACATAAATACGTATCACAATTTATGGTATTTCAATAACTACGATGCCCTCGACAAATATAATTTTGACGTAGTGACGGACTGAGCAAAGTGGGTGAAAATAATTTTTTTTTAAACCAAGAAACAAAGTCGACATTCGTTTTTTCCACCCGGAAAAACCACTGAATTCAAATTTTTGAGAAAATAAGGAAATTTTTTTTGCCTGAATTTTTTTGCCTTACAAATCTGCGATTTTGTTGTGAAAATCACAAAAATTGTCATAACATTGCAACTTGTCCACCGATCCAAGGGAAACTATTACAAGGGTTTAGAACTAAATAAACTACACGTAGTGGCACAAACTCGGCCACCGTGAAAACGTCCGAACATGATATATAAAGTAAAATAATAATAAAACAGTTTAGATGTTTTTTGTTTCGTTCCATCCTTGTTATTCTTAATGATGGTGGCATAAAATCCATACATTGTCGACACATGTTGAAAGTATAACATTCAGCGTTCCAACGTTTGTAATAAAGTTATTTAGATATCGTGAGATGCGGTCGGGTGTGATGTAGGTTTCAGAAAAACATTTTCTTTATCGTGCCAACGTTTCGATCTTTTATTGAGATCATCTTCAGGGCTCAAAGTGTTTGTCTTCTGTGTAATTGTGCCATCCTTGCGTGTCGTGTTGCAAGATGATCTCAATAAAAGATCGAAACGTTGGCACGATAAAGAAAATGTTTTTCTGAAACCTACATTACACCCGACCGCATCTCACGATATCTGAATAACTCGATTAACGGTCACTAATCTCTACACGTTTGTAATAAAGTTGAATTTGGATAAAATCACAGGATTATGCATTTTTAAAGGGAACACATACATCGAAGAAGACAAAAATCCCCCCCCCCCCAAGGCTACGCTAAGTAAATACACACCAAAATGACTGTTTCGTTTCACATGAAAATTCGAATTTAAGAGCTTTTAAGGGTGCTTAAAATGATTCTGGAATATTTTTTTCGGTTAAATTTTTATAAGCTACCTTTACTGACGGCATCTTTGGTTTTTGTAAAAGTTTACGTATCTAATCTGTGTTAATAAAATTTTGATTATTATTTTATTATATGCACAAGGTAAAAAAGCAAATCGACTGATATTTATAATAACCTTGAACAATTTTCCTTTATTATTTTACGTAGTTCCGTTCACTATTGATAAGTAATTTTTTTTTCTTTAGCTTGCTTTGCTTAGTGTATCTTTTAGTGTATGTAAAAGTTTACATATTTAATCTGTTTTAGTAAATTTTGAAAAATTAATTTCACGAGCGTGATTCGAACCCACGACCTTTCTGCTCATACGCCGCTGCTATCATGTCTAGAAGTCACGATAGCTCTACTGGTTAGGGCAGCGGCGTATCGAGCCGAAATAGTGTGTTCGAATCCCGCTCTTGACAATAATTTTTCATCTCAACCAAAAACCCTAGATAAAAAGAACAATTAATTGGAATAATTATTATGGTCAATTATAACCACTAAACAAATATGGATATATAATAACCTTGAACAATTTTCCTTTATTATTTTACATAAAGTTCCGTTCACTATTGATAAGTANATGATCCGACACTGCTGTGTTAACGGATACTTTACATACGACAATCAATTTTACAAACAACTATTTGGTATAGCCATGGGTAGCAACCTAGGCCCGATACTGGCAGACATCATGACACATCTACCCTTTCTAAATAAATAATTATTATACTAGATTAAAAAATCGAATGGTATATAATAACAAACAACAACACTATTGATAATTATTTAAAAAAATCATGTCAATCATCAATAAATCATCATCATCTACAAGCGTCATTTTGGAAATTTTTCGACTTTTTCGAAGGTAAAGATGTAAGTTACTCATACAATTTTTTTCTCTGATCCTCGAACCCATGCCCAATGCCGTCCTTTATGCAGAGAAAATTCGATGTTCCAATGTAATTGAAAGGTGTGTCAGATACCGGAAATAATACCCGCTGATACCGGAAATGGAGACGGAATACCAGTTTTTTCTTTTGAAACTTGACGGACGATTGGTATAAAACTGGATATTAAATTTTACCGTTTCTTTTCGGAATGGAGGAGCGATTTGCGCACTATCGGAAGAACTAAGTGAAACTCTGTATTTGTTAATTGCCGATAGGACAGGAACGGGATTGTGCCAGCGCCGTCTCTATTAATAATTGGGCGTAATAATAACGAATCCGAAAAGCGATTTTCTAAATCGACTCCAACCGGATGTCCCGTTGTGTCATGAGTCCGTCGTGGAAACGTGTAAAAACCGAAATGAAAAAAATTATTGGAATTATCTCGAAAATCGACAATTAACGAGGCTGGGAAAAAAAAGTGGACCGATGGATTATACGACGGTCACCTCCCTTTTATCCTACGCTCCCGTTTCGTAAGGATTTTAGTTTCCTATAATTTGAAAACGAAACGATTTGCATCGCG